GGGGGGGGGGGGGGGGGGGGGGGACAAGGTCTGACACCTCCCTCCCTTCCCCTTCCTCCCGCCCCAGGCTTGATCGGCAAAACGACCTCCTCTCCCTCCGCAGGTGGGCTCGCGGCTCGGGGCGCACTTACCCTGGGGCCCGTGGTGCGGTGACCGCGAGCTGGGGACAGCTGCATCAACACTAGCAGCAAATGGGGCGTAAGCAGGCGGACGCAGCGCGCGGGCAGCATGGTGCCAGCTGGGCCGGGCAGCCGGTAGCGGGCAGGGGTCGTGGGCTGGGCGGGGCACACACCGCGCCTGCCTTCCTACGCTTGGCGCCCTCGCGGCGGCGGCGGCGGGGAACAGGCAGCGGGCCTGCGGCGGGGTCTGGCTGAGGCTGCAGCCAGAGGACACTGTCGGTCATGAACAGCGAAGGCGGGGAGCTGGAGCGCGAGCGTGTGCTCGACGCGCGGCTCACGCGGCGCTCGGCCCGGCCACGGCTGCAGCAGGTTGGATGCCTGAGCCCGGGCCATGGGAATTCCCGTTATAAACCCCGGGGAGGAGCGGGGCGGGGCCCGGAGGGCCTGACTGACGCGCCGAGAAGCCTGTAGCGACCGACCCTCTGGCAGGTGAAAGCCAATGGGAGAGGGGCAAGAGGGGCGGCTCGTGGTCAACCCCCCCCACTGRGGAGCGACACTCCTATGCTCCGCCCGAGTGGACTCCAGGAGAGACTGGGATAAAGAGTAACTTTCTCTTGGCTCCTCCGCCTGCCGAAACCTAAGAGAGCTTCAGCAGCCTTAAACCCACCAAGAATACTCACCTGGCTAATAATGAAGCCTTAAGCATTCTAGAGTTCTTAGCTCAAGTGCTTGAATTCTCACAACCGCCAGAAGAAGGAATTAGGAAAAATACTCTTAGTCCCATTTTTCAGATGACAATGCTATCGCACAAAGGCGCTGAGAAATCTGTTCCTCCGATGAAACAACACCCAGTGCACAGAGAAATCACCAGGTGACACTCAAGGGAGGACTGTGACCTGCACTGGAGTGAGGCGTGGGAGCATTCATTTCTTTCAGAGTTCTCTGGGGGTGACACCTGAGTTCCACAGCAGCTGCTGGGGAGAAGTCTCGAGGGGACAAGGTGAAGTAGCACCTGTTAGGGAGAGCTCCTGTACGTATGGTCCTGAGCACCTGTAATCCTGTGGTTCCAGTGACCCTGGATTGGAACGTAGGTGTCCTGGCTACCCGCTTTGAACTGGAAGGCCATGGGACAGTTTTTCTGTGGCCTCACAGTCCTGGAAAAAAGTGGTCAAAGGGGCCTGGGCCCATTTGATGGAGAGGAAAAGGCAGTCTGAGGATGCAGAGATCCCACAGATGGATCAGAGGAAGGAGAGAGATCTCCCGGGTGCCCGCTTGGAGAGGACAGCTCAGCAAAGGGTCCTGCCAGATGTTCAAGGACTCTGCCCAGGGCCAGGGTCCCACAGGGCTGTATCACACCAGCTCAACAGCACAAGGTGGTCTGCTGCACTCACCCCAAGAAAACCATGATTATCGTATCTGGAACATATAACCTTCAGTGCTTTATTTCCCCCCATATGGGACACTGGCTGCATGGGGAAGGATTCTTTTCTCCAAGCAGATTGTAAAATGCTTCCTCCTCCTCCTCCTCCYCCYCCYCCYCCCCTCCCCCCCCCCCCCCCATCTCTGACTGGCCTAGTTGTCCTGAAAAGATTAGCTCTGCTCCCTTAGGGCTYCTCTCCTGGATTATATGAACAAACCTATCAACTCCTGCTTTGTCCACACCCTATGCTGGCCTGTGCAGCAAACCTGACCATGCTACTCCCACTTTAGAAGCCTTTACCTCTCTCCATTGTCCTCAGACAAAAAAGCCCAGACTGAGTGTTGAAACAAGAACAAAGTATTTGTGGTTGTACAAACAAATGAAGCACACCTCTAAAAGAACTGTCACCTTCTCCTACTGGGAATTAGTGCAGTGTTCCCACAGAACACTCTTGGGAGCTGGACAGCCTGGATTAAATCCTGGGTCTGCCACCTAGTGGTATAACCTTGAAGAAGACTTGACTTGTCTGAGGTCCAGTTTTCCTCTCTGTAAAATGGGGATAAAAAATAATATCCACACCCAAGAATTGTTGCCAGAATTAAAGTAGATGGAGTCTCTAAAAACTCTTCTGTGGTTAAATTAGAAACATTACCCTCTGGCAGTTGAAGAGAATAGAAGAAATGCCTCATCTCATTTATTCTCAGATTTTGTGAAATAGATAGGCTAGACCTTCCCACTTTACAGGTAGACAATAGACACTCCATGAGCTTGACTTGCCTGGTCTCCTTTGGCTGGAAAATGACAGAGCTTAGTTTCAAGGCCAGGTTTTTTTGGAGTCTAATTCCGCCTTTGTCCCATGAGGACTATAACCTCCAGTCTCCAATGCCATAAAGTTAGACATTGCCCAGGGGCTCTTTGGAAGTTTCTTCAGTAGCCTACAGGTCAATAGATTTGTGAGCTTCTTTGAGTTTCAGGGGAAGAGGGTATAAACAGCCAGGGTCAGGCCTTCCTGGAAACAGCCCTTGTGATCTGGCATCCTGGGAATTTGCCCAGCTAGACTTGTGACACTTGTCCAGACTGTGCTTCATGCAGCACTTGCCACAGTTTCCGTGTGCCCTGAGCGTTCATCCACCAGGGACCCGACAGGACGGGCATGTTACCATGCGGCTCAGCAGCCTGGCAGGGTTTTCCTAACCCTACCTGGCCACAAGCACCCGTCAAGTTTGTCAACTTCTTTCTGTTTTGGGAATTATTGAGAAATCTGTTGGAGTAAGTAAATATGCTTGAGATGCCCCCCCCACCCCCGGTATCTGGCAATGCAAAGTGCCCAGGGAAAAAGCATTGCAATAGTCCTTTCCATCCCTAACACCGAATGCTAATTTCCAGCCAGAAAACTTATTTCCAAGTGGTCATTGGTCCAAAACTCTACATTATTCTGGATTTCAACCATGTAGTTTAGTTTAAAATATGAGCAGCCACTTTCCAGTTACTTTGCTTAGCAAGTATTTTCTCTCCCCCTAGTTGGCATGCAGGGCCTGTCGTAAGCATGGACACCATTCAAGTGTTGCATTTTCTTTCTCCAGACTCCTCCCAAGCCCAGAGAAGGTTAGAAATTCCAGAGAACTCCTAGTCCCAAACTGTATCTCTCTGCCAGGTTCAATCTTCTGATCCAAGCAAAAAAGTGAAATTGACAAGTTCCTTCTTCCCCTGGAGGTCAGGTTTATGATATAAATCCAAAAATAAAATCTAGCTCTCCTGGCAACTGGTCTGTCCAGTTTCAGCCGGACTCCTTGTCCTGTGGGACTTTTATTTGCAAGGGGATATTCAGTAGAAGAAAAACAATACTTTATCTCATATACTAAGGTCTGAAGGCCTCAAATAATTAGTCCTAGTGAGGAACAGCAGTTTCAAATACATCTGGTTTTCTGTGTAGTTCAGGAGTCTTGCTTTGTCTCATTCGGAATAGCAACTTTCTGCTAATTTTAACAAGCACTTTGGTGCATCTTCTGTGCCTGGCACGATGCTCATTGTTTTGAGGAGTCTTTGGATGTACATCCTGCCTTTTGAGAGGCTTCCATCTAACAGAGAACAGACAGATACCAGGAGACCATAACTAAGAGTGAGGCCTGCACAGTGTGTGGGAACTCAGTAAGGACCCACCACAGACCTAAAGGGCAGGAAGGTCTCATGAAAATGAAAGATCCTGAATGAGGCTCTGGAGCAAAGTGCTTCTCCAGTGTAAATAGACCCTGATTTATGTTTGCTCCCAACAGAGAGAGGTGAGCTATGTCTAAGGTCCAGGACTCTAGTCAAAAACACGCCTGAGCTCTGGAGCTTGGGACACCAAGAATCCTAAACTCTCCTTCTAAATTATGACTAACTTCCTATAACCTTGGTATTCAGCTGGAAAAGATATTATTATGCAAAGGAGGCTTACCCACTGTTGTTAACCTCACCCAGTCCACTCCTTCAATTTTAAATCTACATAACAAAAATGATTAGCAAGCCAAACAATTTAGAAGCTTCTCTCTCTTATACACAAACTCCATTTAAAGTATAGGACAGCTTCCTCTCACTCAGATTCCTTCCTCTCACTCAGATTCCTGTCCTCATGCCAGGTGGTCCAAGATGGCTGCTTGAGCCACAGGCAATCACACCTGTTTTCCAGTGAACGAGAAAATATGAACATGCCCCTCTTTTTAAGGACAATTCTTAGAAGTCAGATTGCATTTTATTTTTTTTGCTAGAACTTAGCTATAGGACTATATCTACCAGCAAAAGGACCTAAAAATGTAATTTCTTAAATTTATTTATTTATGTTACATGCCACCCAGCTCCTTGTTTTTTGTTTGTTTGTTGGGGRGTGGTTTTGTTGTTTTTGAGACAGGGTCTCACTAAGTTGCCCAGGCTGGCCTGGACCTTAAGATCCTCCTGAGTCAGTCTCAAGCTGCTGGGACTACAGGCACGTACACCACACCAGGCTGAAAATGTTCCCTTAACTGGAGGTGACCCCATGTATCTAGCAAAGAAGGTTTAGGTTGCTGAGGAAGGATAAAACACGGGGACACAGCCTGTAGGAAAAGCCGTCATCTTTGATACCTTCAGCTGCCAAACTTTTGGGTCTACAGTGTGACTCCCCTTTGTTTGCAGGTCAGCCTCCCTAGTATTCAGAAATAAGAATGAAGCTAGGGGGCTGGGGATGTGGCTCAGGCGGTAGCGCGCTCGCCTGGCATGCGTGCGGCCCGGGTTCGATCCTCAGCACCACATACCAACAAAGATGTTGTGTCCGCCGAAAACTAAAAAATAAATATTAAAAAAAAAAAAATTCTCTCTAAAAAAAAAAAAAGAATGAAGCTGGGTGTGGTGGCACACTCCTCTAATCCCAGGGACTGGGGAGGCTGGGGCAGGACAATCACAAATTCAAGGTCATTCTGGGCAATTTGGCAAAATTCTGTGTCAAAATAAAAAAAAGAAAGAAAAATTATTGTAGATTGTGTTCTCCCAAAATTCATATGTTGAAACCCTACCCCTAACCCCTCCTTATGACAGAATTAAGAATTAGGTGTTGGGCCTTTGGGAGGTGGTTAGGGTTAGTTGAGGTCATGAGGTGGAGCCCTTATGTGGTGGGGGAGGGGATTGGTGTTCTTTGTAAGTCACAAGAGCTTGCTTCTCTTGGCTCTCAACTATGTGAGGATACAAAGAGAAATCAGCAGTCTGCCCAACCATGCTGGCACCTTGGTCTTGGCCTTCCAGGCTCCAGAGCTGTGAGAAATAAATTAATGCTGTTAATAAACCACCCAGTCCACATTACAGCAGCCTGAGCTGACGAAAAACAATGGCCTACGACTGGACACCCAGATTCTTGATTCTACAAAATTAACTCACTCTTTCTCTCTCTTAGGCACATTCAAATAGGAGGAACTGAAAACATTCCG